CCCTTCAACGGCTACCTTTCCTCTCGTTTTCAAAACAAAAGTTGAAGAGAAATGGAGGGAGAGATGGCAGTTTCTATTTCTTTTACCAAACAAAGCTCACCTCACCCCACCATGCTTCTACCCTCAAAAGATAAGCAAGCAATGCTACCTTTTCCCGGCATCTGCTTTTCCTTTCTCTTCAAGAACATCCCTCTCCTCACCTTTTGCTTTAGGTTGTTGAGTATTCTGTAAAACCAACTTCACTAGACTTTGCCCCACACGTACTCTTGAGATAGAATAGGATTCTCTACCATCTAATCTCATTTTAACATACCCTTTTGCCCATAGGTTTGTTCAAGCCTAGCTCAGAATACATATTAGGCAAAACTTGATATTCTGAGGCACTCTCCATCAAAGTTATGTTCGAAGTGAAGTTATTTCTCCTAATCTGACAGGGGTCATGCAAATAGATTCTCCATCCAATTGTCTGTTTCAAGTAATATAATCTGTCAATTCAATCATCACAGAGAAATTGATCTATTCAGGGAGGAGGAATCATGCCTTTTGGGTTAGTTTCAGCATGGAACAAGCGCCGAAGAAGCAGGTCCGAGGATCATACAGACCCTTGTATGTTCTTCCTCCTCGTATGATAGAAAACTCATCCCTGCTACAGTTTTTCTTTTTGGCCATCATCCTGCAACAATTGTTTCTCTAACATTCAGCATCTTATTTACCAACCACCTTTCAGGGATTTACAAGCCTGTGGAGTGCTGGCAGATTGAGGATCAAGCACCCCAAAGGAAAAAAAGACACCATGGATCTTCAGTTTTCACACTCAAGGAGATGGAGGAGGCAACATGTTATTTCAGTGATGAGAATCTGCTGGGCAAAGGAGGATTTGGCCGAGTTTACAGCGGTATTCTGCACTCAGGAGAGGTATCCATAATGCTTTTCTATAACGAATCATAATCATTCTCAAAGGAAAGGAACTCCTGATTATAATGCTGAAACCATAAACAAGTTTTCCCGGGTTGAAGAATTTCCAATTAGCTCATCTATCATAGTATATACAGAAGAGTACTTGACACATAGATTTTTCTCTTTTGCATTCTGAAGGTTGTAGCAATTAAGAAAATGGAGCTACCACCATTTAAAGAAGCTGAAGGGGAACGTGAGTTCCGCGTGGAAGTTGATATCTTGAGCAGACTTGACCATCCGGATCTGGTTTCCTTGATTGGCTATTGCGCTGATGGGAAGCACCGATTTCTAGTGTACGAGTATATGCCAAAAGGGAACCTGCAAGAGCACTTAGATGGTAGATTTAAAACACAATCTGTTCTTTCAATGTTGCTTTTCTTCTGTTTAAGATCTATCAATCTGCAACTTTGCTGTAGGAATTGGAGAAACAAAAATGGATTGGCCTTTAAGGCTCAAAGTGGCACTAGGAGCAGCAAGAGGTCTTGCTTATCTCCATTCAAGCTCTGCAGTTGGAATTCCCATTGTTCATAGGGATTTCAAATCCACCAATGTTCTTCTGAGTTCCAATTTTGAAGCAAAGGTAATATACCTAGATGCTTTTCTTAAGCATTAATATAATAAAGCACTGAACCTAAAACACAGGTTCCCGCTCTCAACAGATATCTGATTTTGGACTAGCCAAGTTGATGCCGGAGGGCCAGGAGGAGACTTATGTGACTGCTGGAGCTCTTGGCACATTTGGCTATTTTGATCCTGAGTATACATTGGTACGCATACTTGACCGTCAAGACCAGTTCATTTATGTGTCCATCTCCGAACAATGTAGAGTCACCTTATAAGTTTCTGTGAGTCAAATTCACCAATTTAAAACAATGAGTGTCATGCATTCTAATAATTCCCGTAACTTGGGGTATGCAAAGAGAATAATATATATTTTCATTTTTCAAAAAAATATCCATTTTCCAAGTGGAAAAGGGTTGAGGATCATTGAACATTGGACCAGAAGCAGGCAACAGAAATTCACTGACTCAATCATATTCATGAAATGTACTTCACAATTGGCAGTTAATGTACAGTACTAAGAGAGTAGGCATCTTTATAGGGATGAATGAATGCCATTATGAACTTATATGCCCTCTGCTAGATTTAAACATTGCAATTCTATCTTAGCCTTGTCAAACTCATAGATGAACATAAATGTTGAAAGTGGCACAGTGATAAGAACTCTTTTAATAAAAAATCTTGAACACAAGTGGTTTTGATTCACTTAGAACAATATTTTCACTCCACAGAGAACATATCCAACATGTTATCTTACCATGCAGTTTGTGTCCTCCCAACAAGTAACATTAGTTAGGATTTACTTCCCTTAAACTATTAAAGAAGTAATATATGACTTAGAAAGCTAACAGCTTTTAGAAGATTGCATTCTGTTACTAACCTTCAATACAATCACTATTTCTATATCAGACAGCCTATCATTCACTCTAACTTATTTGTCAACTATAGTCTAAGTTTCTGATTAGTCTTCTCTGCTGACAGACAGGGAAGCTCACCTTGCAAAGTGATGTCTATGCATTTGGGGTGGTTCTTCTAGAGCTTCTAACTGGACGCAGGGCTGTGGACTTAAACCAAGGACCAAATGATCAAAGTCTTGTACTCCAGGTGGTAAAAATTTCACATTCAAATGGATTCTGGTTCTCATGTTTCAATGACGCAGAAAATGAAATAAGTTAATGGG